AGTTCAAGTTCCGTTCTCTCTCTCTCCAACTTGAATGAAACGTAACTGCTCAGTTCGGCTACATCAGGGTTAAGGAGGGGGAGGAGCAGGAGCTTTGGGGTACAGCTGGAAAGCATTAACAACTCCGAGAGCATCTCAGTAACTCAGAGGGTGGGTGGCCTGGCAAAGCTCCCGGATCTCTGAGTGTAATCACAGGCTCTTCGCACCGGGAGGGGTTTAATTCCACCTCCTACCCACGACAGAACCCCCCCCTTACAACCGTTCTGTTTGCGTACTTCCACCAAAGGCCGGTTCATCGCTCCGGGTGACAGCCCATTCCGACCAGGGGAGCATCGATTCCTAGAAAGTTCTTGGCAAATTTACCTCTCTGGCAAGTTGACTCTTCCAGTACAGCGCCCCCCTCCGGTGTCACGGCTCACACAACCGTGCTGCTAGCCCAGACAAAGGACCCCTCCCCTCTGAATGACCCTTTTCCGTCAATCCTGACTCCCACCTAGGGTTTTCGAGCATCCGTGTGAGCATGCTCGCGCTGGACTGCGTTTATGTTTTAGAATCATGTTTGGAATCTCTTCTAAAGACAGGACCCAGAACTGAACGCATTCCTACCTGTTCAGTCACCTGGACAGGCTCGTGTGTTTGTTGTGATTGAGTCTCTATGTAGCTCTGGCTGACCAGGAAGTTGCTATGTAGAACAAGCCGGTCATAACGACCGACTTGCCTCTGCCTCTGAATCCTGGGATTAATGGTGGGCACCAACACAAGGGGCCTTTAGGGCAAGCTTCTTAAAGTCCCACTCACAACCCATTTGGGGTCAGAAATTTTCATGTCTCCTGGGTATACAGGTGTACAGAAAAAGATATATAAATAATATACTTACTAATAACCACAAAATTATTTTAGAGCAATTCTTTGGGATTCACATCACTTTACCATTTATTAACAACAGAAGCAAATCTGCATGTTAATGAGATGGACATGCTTGTTTATTTTTACATTTAAAGAAATTAAATTTTGCCGGGCAGTGGTGGCGCACGCCTTTAATCCCAGCACTTGGGAGGCAGAGGCAGGCGGATCTCTGTGAGTTTGACGCCAGCCTGGTCTACAGATCGAGTTCCAGGACAGGCACCAAAACTACACAGAGAAAACCTGTCTCAAAACCCCACCCACCCACCCACCCCCAAAAAAAGAAAGAAATTAAATCTTATCTAAATATTTGATACTATAGAGAATCTTCAACACTTTGCAGAGTTGGTCAACGTTTGAATTTTGTAATTATCCATACTGAGAGCTACATGTAAACATGAAGTACAGTGACGTGGACAATGGTTTGGCAATTAAGAGCCTTTACTGCTCAATCATGTGGGCCTGAGTTTGGGTCCCAGCACCCCCACTGAGTGGCTCACAGTCACCTGTAACTCCAACTGCAGGGGAGTTACCCTCTTCTGACCTCCTCAGACATATGAAAACACATATACACATATATATACACACACACAGGCGTGAGCACTCATGCAGTCACCCATAAATAAAATAAATTTTGCCATATTCTTTCTCCACTGCCGCCCAACTTCATGTTCTTTCTCTCTTGGTTTTTTTGAGAAAAGATCTCACTGTGCAGACCAGGCTGTCCTTGAACTCGCAGAGCTGTGCAACCCACAGTTTACGAAGCTGTGACTTGAGAGAACCTTTCTTTTTTGAGGACAAAAAAAAAATCTTTGCAGAGAAGCATCCAACCCCTTTTCCGACACTGTCAGCAAAACATGTTTTGTACCTCATCCTCAGGCAAGCTTTCCCATCCCGGAGGCCTTCCTGTAGCTGTGACAAAGAGGAAGAGGCTGGAGACAGGAATGGATACACTCCCCTGGATGCTCAATGGGGAGGACCCAGCTTTTCAACTTCAGAGGCAAAAGATGGGTCCTGTAGCAACCCAATATCTAACATCTAGGCCAAAGAACTCCTCTAGGACCCAAGCAAAAAGGTCACTTTGAATATAACTTCCGCTGTCCAAGGACTTGACATGTCTTCCCACATCTGGCACAGAACACAACAGCTCCATCCCCCTGAGCCTGGCGGGTCCCATCTAGCCACTTCTCTCTCCTTTTGCCACCCAAGCCACCTTACCTCAGTTATCTTTGGCTCTACAACCCAAGCTCCTCTTATCTGCCTTTCCCGGAACGTCTTTCCTGCCTCCTCTAAGTGTTTTCCTCTTCCTGGGAAAAAAATCACAGAGCATCTGGAAAACCAGTAGTTTCCTCCTTCCGTTGATTCCAGATCACATTTTGATGGAGGGAGGTGGTTCTTTTCTCAGAATTATTTTCAATTAATTAGATGTCCAAACAAGAACAGGAGTCGGCCTTTACTTTTGTGGGTGTTTGTTTGTTTGTTTGTTTGTTTGTTTGTTTTAGCATGTTAAAGGCAATGGATGTCATCATTCTGTTGGTCTGAAGAACATTTTTGCTATGTCTTTACCCTCATTATAAGGAAGGAATGGATACAGGGTCAATTCAGATTAGACTTTTAGAGATTAAGTAAATGAATACTTATGACCTAACAGTTTCACCTCATATATAAACTGGCACCGCAGGGGGTAATTTTGACCTCATTTTGTATTCCCAGCTGTGCCTCAGATCAACTGTGATGTCAAAGCTGGGAAGATCATCAATCCTGAGTTCCTGGTGAAATGTCCAGCAGGATGCCAGGACCCCAAATACCACGTTTACGGTACTGGGGTCTACGCGTCTTACTCCAGCGTGTGTGGCGCCGCGGTTCACAGGTGGGTGGCTGTGACCTACTCAACAACCAGTGATCAAAGTGCTGTCGGGGAGCCTCTGGTGCAGGGTTGCGGTAATTAGCAAGCAAAAATGTACAAATCTAGTTGAGCCTCCAGCATTCCATTTGCAAAATTGTCCCAGAAGTCACGCATGACCCTGTGTCTCCTTTCATAGCACCCTTACAAAACTTGACTAACATATTCCCCCACCCTTTTTTTACTTTAAATTTTTATTATTTAAAAAAAAATTGCAAACAAAAACAAAAATCACACATCGTAATTAACCAGACCCCCAGAACTTTCTAATTCTGTCAACATGTGTACAGTTAGAATAGTCATTTGGAATGGCTGCTGTGGCACATCACATCAGATTCTACAGATGCTATGATTTCACTGTTGAGTGTATTTTTATGTATGGATCCACCACCAAAAAATTAAAAACCATGTTCTGAATCTAGCCAATAACATATGGATGTGTGGGTACAACATTACATGTAGAAAAGAGAATTTTAAAAAAGGGCTAAATATTAGGGGATACGGAAGAATGAAAATACAGGTAACAGACACGCATTGTGGAAGTAGATATTAAGCTGAGCGTTCTTCCCCCTGAGGAGGAGGGGGAGGAAGAGGAGGAGGAGGAGGAAGAGGAGGAGGAGGAGGAGGAGGAGGAGGAGGAGGAGGAGGAGGAATTGTATTCTTTCATGACCATGGCAAAGAAAAGAAAGTTCCTGATCCTGTATAGCACATTTTTTTCCTACCTGTGCTGAGCAAGGAAATGGGTAGGGAGGACCAAGAGTTTGGGGGGAGCGGACATATCAGAGCTATGGTGATGGACTGGAGACAGAGGAGGGTGACAGGTGGTACCACTTGTCCAGCTGTCACTTTGGAATTGGGGGAGGACGACAAGAGGCATGGCGTGCTTTGAATTCAGTCACAGCTTCAACGAAGAAAGCAGAGTACCTCCCTGTCCCTGACTTCTAGCCCAGAGCCTCAGGTCACACATTTCCACAAGAACTAGAGGGGCCCAGTACCGCTCGGTGTACGGAATGAGGGGGGTGTACATATACTCTGCAGGAGTCCTGACCAGAAAAGGCCTTATGAAGAATGGACACATGCCTAAAGAGAAAAATGAGAAGGATGTTCCAGGGAACAGGGAACAAGCCCCGTGTGCCAAGTGGGATGTAAGAAGTCAGTGAAAAAAAAAAATACAGATGAGGCAAAAACAAGACTCACTGCTTGTTTTTGAGCAACCCGAAGTCATTATGGTTTCTTTGGACCCATGTCTGAGAGAGAAGAAAAACTCTTCAGAAAGAGGTATCACTACCCATTGGGAGGATGAATAGAGAGGTCTGAAGGGACAAACAGGAATTCAGGATGTTGTTAGCTTTGTTTTGCACAAAGAGAATCTGTTTTTCAGGAAGCAAGATTTGAGATGTACCACCAAGGGAGAGTACTCCGGGGGACCTCAGTCCCTCCCCTGGAGAGTCGCCTCCCACTGTCAGAACAGCAGGTGGGCAAGAACAGACCTGGGCTCAAACATTCCAGCTAACTTGAATTCAGGGATTTAATACTCATCTACCATATCGTGAATAGCTGTGTTCTCATGAGTGACTTACTTTAGTCTTTCAAGGCAAAGGGATATTGATCACACTGAGGCATCATATCTGGGCTCAGGCTCATCTCAAACTGACCATTAGTTAGTTAATTAAACCATTCATTCATTCATTCATTCATTTATTCATTCATTCATTTATGGGGGAGGCACACACATGGCCTGTCCTGTGGGTGGAGCCCAGAAGACAATTTGGAGGAGTTCTGTCCTTCCACCTTATTGAGGTGGGGGTCTCTCTTGTTTCTGCCATCCTACATAATTCAGGCTAGCTGGCCCATGAGCTACTCTGAAGGCCCGAAGGCGACTCCACAGTCTTTGCCTCTCATCTCTCAATAGAAGTCCTTACTATAAATGCACACCACTTCATGCAGTTTTTTTCCTACATGGGTTCTGGGTTCTTTCTCTGGTCATCAGGCTTGGCTGGTATTAGTAATAACATCAGTAGCCAGGCGGTGGTGGCACACACCTTTAATCCCAGCACTCAGGAGGCAGAGCCAGAAGGATCTCTGTGAGTTTGAGGCCAGCCTGGTCTACAGAGAGAGATCCAGGACAGGCAACAAAATTACACAGAGAAATCCTATCTCCGAAAACCAAAAAATTAAAATAAAATAAAAATAGAAATAACATCAGTGCCATGAATGAACACAAATTCAATTTTTTTTGTAAGGATGTGCCAGAAGCCAAATCGGGCTAGCTACACACCGGGGCCAACGTGGCTCCATTATTTTTATCCCTGACATGGATCGTGACTGCATCTCATCCAGCTGATGGAGCTGAACTTCACAATGACATGATTGGCTAATCCATGCAAAGGGAATCAGGAAGGCTCATGAAATATGAGTCCCTGCTCAGCTAATTACCTTTGATTTAGGAAAGAAAGAAAAGAAAGTGAGAGACAGACAGACAGACACAGACACAGACAGATAGACAGAGACAGAGAGATGGAGGGAGGGAGGAAGGGAAGGAGAGAGGGAGGGAGAGGGAGACAGGAAGTTCTGAGGTATCCTGATGCCCTCTTCCGGCCCCTGTGGGCACCAGGCATACATATGGTACACATACATGCATGCAGGCAAAACACCTATACATATAACAATAATTTTTTAATTTGTTTTTCATTTTTTTCCATTGGTCTAAGAAACAAAATTAATTCCAAAAATCTTTAGAGATAGTAGAAGACAGTAAATCACCAAGAATGTTATGAGAACAAAAGTCCAAGATGGTGGTGGAAGCAAGATGGCGTCAGGCTCCCTGTGAGGAAGGGCAGGGGTAATAAAGGGACCCAGAGAAGGCAGCGGCCCAATGTGAGCCATGTGAATGGGGTGGTGAGGTGGGGCAGTAAAGGCTACAGGAAGAGACAAGGAATTAGAAGGACTCCGGAGTGTTTGTGCTCCTGAACCCTAAGAAATACCCCAAACTCAGGGACAGACTCAGGGTTTGAGATCCGTGAGACCTGCCTGCGTTCAAATCCCCATCACAAGGCACTAGTTACAAAATCTTGAGTGACTCATTGGCACAGCCTGTTTCTAAGGCACAGGGAGTTACATCCTTCTCCGCCCCCCCCCCCCAGCTCTGAAGTTTGCTGGGAAGATGTAGTGAGACATGTGTGAGATGATTTTAAAGCCATTAAGTGTTTTACATGTCAAGTGCTATTATCACGTTCTCCGTGGCCATCGGGAATTGGAGTGTTGAAAGTTGTTGAGTCACTGTGGAGTGAGGAGGGCAGGAAATGGCAGCCTCACCCCTGGAGGGAAGGATCTGTGTTGATGGGAACAAATCCTTGTGCTTTTTATTCATATGCCATAAATTACAGAACCCCAGAGGAGCCATGGTAGACTCCAGAGCAAGGTAATGACATTGTCAAGGTGCTATTTAGGACCTGGGGGTGGGCCTCGTGCCCAACAGATGGATATGCCAGTCCCTATACATCAGGGTGTAAAACCTGGTAAAAATCCGAGAAATCAAGGAACAATTTCCAACCTTCGAGGATTCCATTCCTTTTCCTCTGTCTCCTCCGCTTCTTCCTCCTCTTCTCCGTCCTCCTCCTTTCCCTCAAAGAACCATGCACTGTTAATAGTTTTATCCTGCTCCTTCAAGTGACTGAATTCATTCTGTGATATCCTCAAAGTCAAATTAGAAATCGTCAGGCACCAAGTTTTACTTCAAAGAACTAGTGGGAAGCTTAATGTTCAGACTCAGCACACGCCACAGTCTGAGGTCCTCAGGAGGCTGCGACAGGTGAATTGCTTGAGTTCAGGAGTCCAGAGCCAACCTGAGCAACAAAGTGAGACCTACAAATAGAGACTCAACAAGAGTTTGGAAAACCATTAGAAAGCCAGGCATAGAGGGGGAGGCAAGAGGGTTAGGAGTTCAAGACCAGCTTGGCTTAAGTAATGCGCTTTGAGGCTAGCCTGGGACACATAGGGAAACCTTGTCTCAAAAGAAGGAAAGAAAGGAAGGAAGGAGGGAGGGAGAGAGGGAAAGAGGGAGAGAGGGAAGAAGGAAGAGCAGGAGGGAAGGGGGGACTGGAGTGGTTTTCTTGGACCAATGTCTGAGAGAGTAGAAAAACTCTTCAGAAAGAGATATCACTACCCATTGGGAGGATAAATAGAGAGGTCTGAAGGGACGAACAGAAATCCGGGATGCTATTAACTTATTTTCCACAAACAGAGAATCTCTCTAAGAAAGTTCCATAGGTTTTAAAACTAGGATAGAGGAAAGAGGAAAGGCTAAGCGTGGTAGCACACACCTTTAATCTCAGCACTCAGGAGGCAGAGGCAGGCAAATTTCTGAGCTTGAGGCCAACCTGCTCTGCATAGTGCACGAGATTTACGTAGCAAAACCCTGTCTAAAAAAGAAAAAAATAAGTAAGTAATCAAAAAAGAATTAATTAATTAATTTAAAAATAATTAACTTTAATTTAATTCATTAAAAATAATTAATTAATTTTTAAAAAGACAAGACCAGAAATACACAACAAAAGAGTAAGAATGGAAAAGCTGGGAAATAAGAAAATCGAGTCATAAGAGCCAAGAAGAAAAGGACATTTGACCTGGAGACCAGGTCCCAAGTCCAGGGGTGGAAACACCATGCTGGGGGTCGGGCTGCAAACCGAAGCAAACCTTCCCTTAACCTTTCCTGTGTCTGAGCAAAGACAGAGACAGGTGTGTTGGTGTCAGGCAGTATTTCTACACCTTCTTCTATGTAAGTTTGTTTTTCTCCTTTTCATAGTGGCGTGCTGGATAATTCAGGAGGGAAAATACTTGTCCGGAAAGTCGCTGGGCAGTCTGGGTACAAAGGAAGTTACGCTAATGGTGTTCAGTCTTTATCGCTGCCCAGGTGGAGAGAGTCCTTCATCATCTCAGGTAATGGTCACACCCTGAAGACAGACCTCCGAGGTACCACCAGGATCAAATGTAGTCTCTCAGTTGCTTTTAGGTTTTGCATATTCTAGCCCACCTCATTTCAGAAATATATGAAGCATTCATTCCAAAAACAAGAACTGTGAACTAATGGATAATAATTGTTAGGATTCTGCCACTCCAGCTATATGGCCACACATGCGCAGTTCAGTAGCTAAGCAAGGGGTCTTACTTCTTACATCACCAGGGCGCTGCGTGATTGCGCAAATGCACGGAGCAGCGTCATGCAATCTGTGCATGCATGGCGTAGCTCCATAAGCCCACCTGCGCGTGGGGAATCCTTAAAAAGCCGGACACAGACTCCTCCTCTCTCTTTCTGCTCCCCCTCCCACTCTCTCTCACTCTCTGTCTTTACATGTGCCTCTTCCCAGGCCTGGGCGCTCTCTTCTGTTGCCCCCACCCCCACCCCTCCTAATAAAGCTCTGATACTGGCTTTTGTTGTGCCTCTGACCTTTCTCGAACAGTAACCAGCGCCAAGTATTTAAAACCAACAATAATTTGCATGAAAAATCACTACAAAAGTCAGATTTGGAAATAGTGCATCCGCTGCTCATTTTAACTGCATCATGGTTGTCTGCAAGTCCAGTCCAACTCTGAGTAAACTGAATCAGGTTTATCAAGTTTTTTTTTAAAAAAAACAAAACTAGTCCTTCAGGTGGGCCAGATGGACCCCATATCTAGAACATTTTTCCTTGTGCCTCTCTGGGAGACAGATAGGAGGCATCACAGGAGGGAAAGAATGAGTCACAATTTGATTTTAGATTATTATGATTTTTTGTTCAATTTATTGCTTCACTATTCAGCTCAACTCTCTAGCACCATGGAAGTCTTACAGATAACAATTCTGACTCTCCCACTCCCTCTCAAAACTCCAGTAGCGTAGTTTCACAATGGAAAGGTAACCAGCTCTCCCTGAGCCACCATGAACTGCTTCTCCCATTTTTGTTTATTTCTCCAATCCAGTCCTTTATTTTGAAAATAACGTAACAGGAAATTTAAAAGGTAGCACAGTGAATACCCATCCTTAATTGTTAACGTTTTTTTGTTTTACCTACTTGCATATCTATCATTTAAAGATAACTTTTCTGGAAAGTGCTGCAAACATCCTTGACATTTCATCTGTAAGTACTGTTACTTACTAGGAGTGCCAACATTTTCCTAAGTAACTATCACAGTACCACATCTGAAAGTGAACATTGATATAACTGTTAGGGTCTGCAAGAAGTCCCATAAAAGACCACCAGTCACGATGCAATCAACAAGAGCGTTTATTATACCATCATGTATGTGAGGTCGTTCACCTGTATATACAAAATATACAGAGGGACTTGTAAGCTCCTTTTAAGCACAGCTAAGGGGAGTTTCAGGGTCAGTTAGATGATTTTATCTATGATTGGCTTATGCCAGTGGCAATCATATTAGTATGTTTCTAATTAGTTAGGGCTAGCAGGCATTGGCTAAGGCTATAGCTTTTCCATTCTTGGGCAAGTCTGGACAAGTCCCATGCTTTGTCCTTATTTGGTTATTGCCTTGAGGCACCTGGGGGATGGGGGGAAGTTGGCACAGACCTAGTACATGCAATTCTCCTCATCCTTACTGCCAGGGACATTGCCCTTTGTTCATGGCTTCCTCAGAAACTGTCTATCCAGTTTCAAGATGCAGGAACTGAGGCCTAGTTCTTAACTGAGTTATTAGGAGCCTGTCATGGTATTTGTCTAGTAAAGAGTTCTGATTCACATCCTTATAATAATTTATCCCCTTTTGGGGGGGGGGATATCTGTGATATGATCCTATTATACCTAGCATTTAGTTGTCATGTCCTTTCAGTCTCTTTTAATTCCCCCAGCACATCACATCTTGTCATCATGAATAACAATAGCATCTATGAAGTCTAGGCTGGTTGTCTATTAGTGTATCCTACAGTACTGACCCAAAATGGGGCCAACATCTTTTGTGAGTGATTGGATCCATCTTCAGTATATATTTCTAAAAATATATTTATTTATTTTTATTTTATGTATATGAGTGTTTTGCCTGCATGTTACATATGTGAGCTACGTGTGTGCCTGGTACTCATAGAGGCCAGAAGAGGATATCAGAAACCCTGGAACTGGAGTTACAGACGGTTGTGAGCCATCATGTGGGTGCTGGGAACCAAACTCAGATCCTCTGCAAGAGCAGCGTGTGCTCTTAACCACTGAGCCATCAATCCAGACCCTCAACTTAAATATTTGGAAAAGGATAGGTTATATCATCAGATCTCCATGGTGTCATAGTACAATAGCCCTATCAAAGGGCTGGCTATACTTCCAGTTTCTTTAATTGTTGCTGATACCAAATTTGATTGTTTGGCTAGTATAATATACTTCTCCAGGGCCAAGATATGTGGAATTAATTAGCAAGCAGGGTGATACTTTAAACAGCTTGAGTAACTTATTCTCCAGGAATGCTTACTCAGCCATTCTAAGACCCATTCCCCATCCTGGCTTCACAATAAGACACTAGTCCGCGCTTCTCGGGGCACCAAAATCTACAAGCTGTTCTAAGGCCTTGTGTACCATGGTACCGTGTCTGCATATAACCTGTGGACATCTTCTCGGATCATGGTGTCGTCCCTAGATTCATTCAACAATGTGGATGCTGTGTAAGTAGCCGTTCCCCTCTGCTGTTGAGGAAACGGTGACAAGGAAAAAACCACATGCAAGTTCAGTACAGCTGCAAATTGTTTCCCAGTATTTTAATGGCAGACTAGTTGAATCACAGATTCGGACGCTACAGAAACAGGGCAAACTGTAACTGCAAAATTATAATTCTTCCTATTGTGTCGTTCCTTCCACATTAGTGGCCCCCCCCACACACACACCCTGTACTGTTGTTTTTAATGTGGACTTGAAAATAATATAAGATATTATCCACCAGACGCGACAAACCATCATCATGTTATTGTATTTCATGTCCCCTGAGTTTGGCCAGTGAAAGCTGCTCATTCTTTTGATATGGAGCACAAAATAATGTCCTATGCTCACCTTACCCTCTCGTTGCTCAAGATCTTGATCTCCTATTTTCTCTAAGGAAGTTCCATAGAATTTAAAACTAGATTCTAGCTCAAAGCTGCCTGGCCTCCCACCAAGATTGGATGTGATGGGATTATCCTAAGGAGAAATTCCCTGTGGAGAGAGAGAGATGTCTCATTAGACCATAGCTCTTCCAGACTAGGTGGTTTTCTGATCCTCATTAGGCATCCCAGGTCCCAAACCCTTATTTTCTCCATCCATCAGAATTGTGACAAAAGAAAAAACAGACCTTCTAGGACTTTCCTCCAATTGGACAATCCTTGTTTCCCTGAACCTGCTAAGTTATACAGTGAAGTGTGGTTTCTTTATCAGATCATGGAAGGGCATCAACCACAGCATAAGTTATAACAGAATTCAGAGCAGAGACCAAATGACAATTGTAGAGGGAAGTTTCTCCGATCCTGCCAGGCCCCTGCGGTTGCATGAATCTCTCCCACCCACGTCCCTCAGCCGCTTGGTCCCAAGTAAACACACAGAGGCTTATATTACTTACAAACTGTATGGCCTATGGGTCAGGTTTCTTGTTAGCCACCTCTTAAAACTAAGCTCAACCCATTTCTATTAATCTATATGTTGCCAGGTGGCCTCGGTGTTATCGGTCTGCTGGCATCTTGTTGTTCCTTGGGCGGGGGAGGCTGGCATCTCCCCCGACTCCACCCTTCTTCCTTTCCTCTTCAGTTTGAACCACCTAGCCTTATCCTGCCCTGCCGTAGGCCAATGCAGCTTTATTTATCAACTAATCAGAGCAACACATATTCACAGTGTACAGAAAGACATCCCGCAGCAGACAATGTCAGCATCTAGTGGAGTAGAGAGAAATACAGCCTCCACATAGGAATATACCCAGCAACTCCTGCCTAAGCATCCGAACTTACAACTCAGTGTGGTGTACAGGAATCACACCAGGGCTTTAAAGGAAAACTTTATTCCTGGAAAGGGAAGACATGGAGGGTTACGGATTTTTGTTGTTGTTCACTTTTCATTTTTGCAATAAAAATCAGTTTAATAAGTTTATTCCCTATAAATCTCAATTTCCATCTCCCCTCATCCTACCTTGTGACATTTAACAGAAAACAGTTGTGGCCAAAGATAATAAGCTTGTGTGTTTATGCAGTGACTAGGAGTCCTCTTTCAAAGGGATGTCAGGGAGGGCACTGTCTCATAAGGTTGTAACCCAGGACACCCTGTGATTCAGAAGTTCACGGCCAACAAGTACAACCGGATCATGTCAAAACCCTCTTCAGAAGGCTCGGGTGCCTATGTGACCTTCCTCTGGATTTTTATTTCTAATTTTTATAGGTCACTGTGCTTCTTTAATTAATCTGCCTTGGGGCTCTGGGAGCTGTCGGGGAGAGATGGGGTGTGTGGTTTCGGTCCTGGTGATCCTTGGACAGTGCAGACTTGTGTGCGGCCAGAGAAGGTCCCCTAACAACTGCCCTCTGTACTTTGATCCACGTTTCAGACAGCTGAGCCGATGCTCAACAGAAACACTAACAACTCCTCAGTTTTAATCATGAGAAGAATAGTAAATGGGTAGAGGCGAGGCCTCAGCTTCTCTCTGTGTGAACTCGTTGTGGCCCACAGCCAGGAGGCCCTCATGAGGTCCGAAGCAGCCTCAACCAGGGTCTGCTCAGGGCAGGCCCAGACACGGCTGAGGACTTGGAAATGACCCGTTCTGCTCCCCAGATGGTTTTAATGTGATGAAGTAAGAGGCACCTGTCAGCCAGAATGTTTGCCTCATTTTTTTGCCTTTGAATGGAACTTACAGGTAATGTCTGAGTAAGGTTTTGCATCTTTGTGGGCATATCCAGCTCCAAACACTTTTTAATTTCAATTTTTTTCATTACACCCCTATAACTTTTTAGAGGCCATGTCATTATTTATATTTTCACAATGTAAAAAAATATATATACAGTCTTGAAGATTATAGTAGCTAATTAAAAGTTAAAATAAGGGCTAAGGGTAGCTCAGTGGGAGAGCATTTACCTGGCATGTGAAGGTCCCTGGCTTTGATCCTCAGGACCGTGAAAATAAAAATAAAATGAAAAAGTAACATAGAAATAGAAACCCAGTTTGTCTTAGTCTCAGGCACTTTCAGGGACCTCACAATTCTTGTGTCAATGGGATGTTGGGCACATTCCTGGGTCGTATTCTGGCCTGCTCACTCCACTCCCCCCTTGACACCACCCCTTACCATTCTCTCCAAGGATGTCCCTGGGTTGAGAGATTAATGCTTTCATATAAATATGGTAGCAAGTGACACTCCTCCCCCAGTGAGGGCAATGAGATTGTAGCCAGGACCTAAACATTAAGATATTCCTCCATAAACCGGGCGGTGGTGGCGCACGCCTTTAATCCCAGCACTCGGGAGCCAGAGGCAGGCAGATCTCTGTGAGTCTGAGGCCAGCCTGGGCTACAGAGTGATTTCCAGGAAAGGCTCCCAAGCTGCACAGAGAAACCCTGTCTCAAAAAACCAAAAAACCAAAACCAAAACAAAACAAAAAGATATCCCCCCATGGGGCTAGAGAGATGGATCAGTGGTTAAGAGTACTTGATGCTCTTGCAAAAATCTGGCGTTTGGTTCCCAGCACCTACACTGAGGTCCTCATAAATGCCTGGGACTCCAGCTCCAGGAGATCTAGCCTCTGCATGCGCACACACACACACACACACACACACACACACACACACACACACACACACAAAATAAATAAATAAATAAATAAATAAATAAATAAATAAATAAATAAATCCTTAAAGATATTAAGTCATTAACTACATGAGACGCTGCTTATGGCCCTGGGATCTTAACAGCTCCGAACAGACAAATGAACTTGTAACGGGTTGGGGAAGAAACTATCTGAATTCCATCGGCACTTTCAACTTAACTATAGAACGAAGCCCACTGTCAGGCATCTCTTGGAAATTAGATGACTCGGCGGGAAATAGCCTTCTGGGGCAATTTCAGTCACCCCAGGCTTGATGACTACTTACTTCTCTGCCAGATCATTGCTGATCCAGCTCTGATGGCCTGACGTCTTTCTTTTTTTCTGCTTCTATTGTGTCCTTGTTAGACAAGACTGCTCTTTCCCCTTGTTTTGCATCTAACATCTCTCCCCGAGTGACCACCAATGGTTGTTTTCAAGGAGGACCTCTGTACAATTACTTTCAAGTGTCCATGGTGCCCGGGAATTCAAACGGATCCCACAGGGTCTGTGAAAGTGAGAGGCGACCGTCCATCCACAGACAGCTAGTCCAGGACCTGAAAGTGGGTTGTGTGCAATGTTTTGCATCTGTCTATTTGTGTAATTGCACACTCAGAGCCCAGTTAGCTTACATGTCACATCTTCAGGAGCAAAATAAGAAATTGCTAATATTAAGCAACTCTGAGTCATGCAGATTTTATTACTCCCATTCTATTATTAATAAAAACAAATGCTCCACGGGAAAACAAAACGCCACTTGGCTCTCCGATTGCAATCAACAGCAACTCAGTGCAAGGGCGGCAGATGTTCCTGAACTCAAGAGAGATAAACTGGAAAGAGATAATCCACTTATCAGCACCGAAAGATCTAAAAACCAGCCCCGGAAATAAATTCCTCTCCCTCTTCTTTTGCAGAAAGTAAACCCCAAAGGGGCGTAACCTACCCATCGGCTCTTACATATTCATCGTCCAAACATCCAGCTGCCAAAGCAGGCAAGTGCTCGCATGGTATTTCATCCAAGCTGTCTGAGTTCATAAACGTGTAATGTCGCGTTTTAGGTGACGGTTGTGGGAATTCACATCGTCCCCAGTCAAGTCCCGCTGACCCTGGAGGTGCGTTAATGATGCCAGGAACCGGGCACCTCACTCAACCAATGCGATCAGACAGACGTGTCTTGGGAGTGAAGGGGGTTTTTTGTTCTTTTCACGATTGGATACTGTCTCTGTATCTGCGTCATCTTCATTCAGGGTGACTGGGACCTGGAATTTTATTGTACTGTTACTTTAGATGATGATAATGACCTTGTGCCTAGAAACGTTTCCTGGCAACTGTAAGGGAAGAGGCTGCCTCTGCTTGGCTATAAAGCAAAGGAAAGGAGAGAGAATGATAGGGCTTATTCACTAACAGCAAGCAACCAAGCAAAGAATCTGAGTCAGGACAAAACGCACTTCTGAGGGGCTCACCTGAGCCAGCCTCCACAGGACCAGCTGCGGAGACTAAGGAATTCCTGTGCTAAATCCAGTATGGTGCCTTGGGAGGTGCTTTGATTTCTCACACAGTCAGGTGCTTTCTCACAGGATTCTGCATTCCAGAAACAAGGCGGGTGAATGGGTTTGGTTCAAGTTCTACTCGTGGACGTAGGGCGGACATGGCTCTAGAATTTCCAGAGCCAGCATTTCTTAAATATTTGCCGTGGGCAAGGCACTGTGACAAGACCTTTCCTTGGTAGTTTTTAGTCAGCCCGGATTGCGACCCAGATGCCCTGTTCTTAGCCCTCATGCACAGTTTGCAGAAAACAGAGCTCGGAGAAGTCGAGTGAGGTTTTCACTGACAAACAGCAAGGAATTAGGAAAGTTCAGAGTCAAACTCAGACTGCCTGGCTCCAAACACCACTCCCTAAATCGCCGTGCTAGCTTTTTCTCCTGCTAGCCACCCTGCGTGCAGACTCCCAGTCTGATGAGCCTCCACAGACACGTTGGGAGCTGCCCATCTTTCATCTTGTGACGGCCTCGCCTATGCCTTTTACGACATTTGAATTGCTGAAGCGATCATGACATATTTATTGAGTTGCAAGCACACAGCTCAGCTCTCCCCATCCCCCACAGTGGGGTGATCCCTTAAGAGCCAGATCTGAGGTATTATGCCCTGTCTTCCTTTGATGAGGACACCGGAAGGAGAGAGCGCGTGACAGAGCCCGCTGTCCGTCTGGTGATTTCTGAAGAGGTGATGTGTGCAGATAACTGGGTCGTGTTTTATCTAGTCGACTCTTGTCCGCTCCCTACCCCTTCCTTCCATTCGTAGCATACCAATCCAGGGACCCGGCATCCCTTGCACTCAGAACTCTGGGCTTCTCTTTAGACTGCCCTGGGGCCTGAGTTGCTCTGAAGTGAGGTCACCTTCCTTTCCTGTCTCATCCGGTCTGGAGCCATCGAGGGTCTGGCCAGGGATGTGTTAACGCCACTGATAACCTTAGAAATCTCAAGTGTAGAGTTACCATTGCCCAATTAACCCCGAGACTGTTCTCTCCCTCACTGAATGGGGAGACTGGTGACTGTGCAGATGACCCTGGAATGGCCACAGGTGTGGGACGCTCAGGAGCAAACTTCCTGGTATAGAAAGTAGTGTGCAGGTCCTTCTGGCTTCAGCCCTCAGACCGAACCTGAAAAATGGGAAGGGTCCCACACAACATCGGGTGATCACAGCTATCTGCCAAGTCCTCCCTCTGTGCCAGAGCCCTGAGCTACAACAGCCTGAGGCAGAGAGCGCCAGTATCTTATCCTGCTTTAGAAGGATTTAGCAATTTCCCCAAGGGTGCGACTGTAGCTGGTTCCTTGGAGACTGATGGGTTGTATCGCCCTAAAGCAGGTAACAGTTGTGGGGGGAACGCAGGGAGAAGTACAGGTAAGAGACACTGCCTTGGAGTTTTTGGAATCTGTTTGGTCTCAAAGCCCCAGGCAGCAGAGGTCTGTCCAAAGCTCCCCGTATCTACACCAGCCACGGCCAAGCTGAATTGTTCCCCACCTACCTACCTATCTCTATGACTCGGTAGCATCTTCAAGTGGTGCAGGTGAACCCTGGGACTTCCCCTCCTCCTCCTTCTATTTAAATCTATAAAGTATCCAAAAGCCACACTGTGAAAGCACAACCATTACTGATGATGTCGCTTGTCCCCATGGCCACACCACCTCAAGCTTCTGTGCCGTATCACCAGGTAGTATATCCATTCCTCAGTTCTAGATCATTCACATTTGACAGCATCTCAAAGGGTATGTTCCTCCATTCACCCACTTGCTCACCACCGAGTACCTCCTGTGTGCTAGGCCCAAGCTCAGTGACCAGTGTGCCCATATCAAAGGGATGCGTGGGGTCCCGCTCTGTCTCTTTAAAAGGGCATGCCTGCATAGAGTGAGTTCTTAATAATTCAAGTAAAAAAAAAATTCCAGTGAGACCCGTGAAAGAGTGGTCTCACTGCTCCTCTTCCTAAGGGATCAAATTCCTTCAGAAACCGCACAAAGCCCGAGAAGAGGTAGATGCAGGGCCAACCACGGCTCAGGTCTCAGCATGCTGCATAACATGCTTACTGGGCTCCCAAAAGAATGCGTTAATAGGTAAATTAGGTTAGGATGACCCTGCCAAAGCATAGCCAACGTCTTCAGTGGCAAATTATCTCCCTTGAAGCCTGGAAGGTCTCTGATTTGCCTTGCAAGGCTCACGCTGGGGACAGATATTGCCTGAAATTTAAAGGCTGTCTCTCCCAGGCAGTTAGCAACCATTAAGCCGGCAGCTGCTACTTGGCTGCCTTGTGCTCTGGGCTAAATAAAAACAGGTAAGTGTTGATTTGCAGAAATGCACCGGAAAACTGGAAAGGCACATTCCTGGGGTCAGGGCCAAAGAAGGCTAAGGAAATCTGCTACTGAGAAAGAGTGCCAGGAAAATACCCTTCTGCCTCCCCTTGGCTGTTTGCTAAGCCCTGCCCTGGAAGGAGGTCGTCAGGCTGCTGCCCACTACATGAGTTTCACCTCCCAGGCATCCCCCACCCTCATGACCCTTACCCACCACAGCCACCCTGTTGCCACTCCTGACAGTGAGCTTCGGAGAGATGGCCACCAAGACCTTGTGATACACTCGGGAATTCTCAAGTGACCGAGGCCTGTCTTCTACTTGTTCCCTTTTAGTGGACAGAGAGCATGGGTTTGGCTTCTAACCTTGACTTCTAACCTTGCCTCTGCTTCCCTTCAACCCTGTAAATGGGAACGCTCCTGGACCTCTTAAGAAGCCTGTTCCTTACCTTAAAAATAGAAATGTTTGCGTCTACTTCCAAAACCGTGACAATCTTCATCAGGGATGCCCACGTCCAAAGGTGCCAGCGTATAGTGGAGATCTTAGATCTCCTGCCCTGGTGTGCAGCCCCGAGGCTCAGAATGAGCTAGTGATGAGAAGAACCAAATCTTCCCCCAGCACTCAGACCTTGGCACCCTGGCTTCCGTCCTCTTCCCAGCCACCAAAGCACAATGCTGTCTGCGGCAGAGGGGGAAACATAACTCGATGTGAAATGTCAACTCCTACCATTTATTGGATTCCTACATGTGCCCAACACAGTATGGGCGACTTATACACTTCGCCCAAATTACGGCAGCAGTCCTGCCAAGTAGGCATTGGCTGTCCCCACTCATAAATAAAGCAGGACTGGAAATGAGGGGGCTAGAAGCCCAATCTGGCCTGGGCTACAGTTCTTATATCAAAATTCCACGGCCCATCTGAGAGCTGGTGAATCAGCCTCTCTAGGAACAGCTCCTGGGGGCTGCATCTGTAACCCCGATCTGCTCAACTCCACTCGGCTACCGGGACAGGGAGTTCCGGGCCTCCATCTGCTGCTTTTCAGAGGGTGCCTGGGAGCTGTTCTTGGCCATGCCCAAATAAGCAGCATGCTGAGAGCCTACGGCATGTCTGTGAAAGCCTTTGAGAGGAGACAAAACTTCCATGTATCTGACACTGTCTGCAGAAACTGTCCGACTAGGTATCGTGTTCAAAATGAACCAAGAGCGAAATAGCCAATAAGGAACTGGGAGAAGTTAGGACCGCAAGAGCAGCATCCTCTTCCTCCACGTTAAAGATGGCTCTAATCTGTGACAAGGAATGAACAAAAACAGCCCGCATAGGACCAGAGAGATGACTCTTGAGTAAACGGATCGAGTATTTGAAAGCAGCTGTGTCCTGTCGAGTGACCCATTGGCTGCCCTCATGACATTTAATCTCTAGCTCTCTTGAAAATGAATATTCACACACGGAGGTGACTGGGGTAGTCCAGAGCCTAGAATCTGGACAGCTGGGGAAGAAAAAGATAATTGTGACTTTCAAACTCTAATAAGTTTATGATGGGAAGATGTTCTAGTAAAAGCTTTGTTTGGCTGCTTTATGGCTGAATTGATTATTTGAAAGTAAAATATATATATATATATATATATATATATACTGCCTGATTATTTATATGTCTCTCGAAATGAATCATTGGATTGAAATTGACAAGCAGTCCTATTCATCTCCTCCCTAGATCAAGGCAAACCTGGGCCCACATCTCCCTCAAGAGGCGCCAAAGCCTTCTAGCAACAGCAGAAGGCAGAGGATCCCTCTTGAGAAATTAAACACTTCTCTAGGACTTATTATGAATGGCTGTCCTTTAAAGTAAGGGAAATGTCGTGCATCAGGCAGCTTTGGCTTGGCCCCAGGGTGGTGCAGATGCCAGCTGAAGCCCAGAAGCCATCCATGGCTCGCTAATGATCCTCTGGCCTGGTCTTCCGACTGATTTAAAGATGGCTAGCGGTTGGCAAGGAACAGGGTCAATGAAAATGAGAAATCTGCTTCCTGCCCGCAAGAGCAGATGGAATGGCTACACTGAACCCTGATGCTGGATTTGGTTCTCGTCTGGCCTGGCCTCCCAAATTCGTGATGTGATTCACCCCTGCAAGGTGACAGGGTCAGGGTACGGAAGGGAGCAGGTGCCAGTGTAGGGCAGTGGGTCTGAACACCCACCAAATGTTGGTCTGCAGGGCCGGAGTCCTAACACTGCTCTCCTGGGATGCTGTACCATGCACTGTTCTGTACAGCATCAAACGGCACGTTGGATGGAGAAAGAGGCATCTTTTGACCCCCTTGGCCAGCTTTTCCATGTGCCTAAAATGCATCAACCCTAATCACGAGGAACACTAGAGCCAGGATGCTATGGTGGGCTGAAAAGTCCCCCTCAAAAAGATACTCAAATCTCAACCACTGGAACCCAAGTGTGCCCTTACATGGAGAGGAGTGTTTCTGCTAATATGATTAAGGGTCTTGACGTTGGATGTTTATCGTCGATTATCTGTGTGGACAATCACACACATCTCCACAGAAAGAAAGTAGAGGGAAATGACTTCACAGCCTGAGAAAAGGAGGTCTTAAGAAGACAGAGCAGAGAAAACAAGTCAGGATGCTAACCTTAGGGACAGCCCAGGCCAATCCAGACGAACTTGGCTGGTGCAAGAATCACATCTACCTTCGGGCTTATTGGAGGAAGCTCGGTGCTGCTGAGGCCTTAAACCTGGCCCAGTAGTCCTTATTTTGGAATCCTGGCCTCCAGAGCCGTAAGAAAATGAACCTCTATTGCTTTAAGCCACCAAATTTTGGGTAATGTATAACAGCAGCCCCACGACACCAGATCCACAGTTACAGAAGCATTAATATTCCACTGGATGCCCAGTAGCCATTGGCAGTAGATCTAGACCTGAGGGGCTGGTCATGGGGAAGACCATCATGTCTCTCTACAGTCCTGGCCCGAGGTCTCCAAGATAGTCCCCAGGATTCACAGAGTAGCCTCTCTTTCCCTAAACCTTCACTGAGACTCTCTGAGCAATTGGAGCACTAACTGGAGCCTTGTACCTGCTCCCCACGCTCCTGGAAATGACCTCTCACTCGGGCTCAAGAGATGGCTCAGGGGTTAAAAGCACTCTCTGCTCTTGCAGAGGACCTGGGTTCGATTCCCAGCACCCATGTAGGGCTACTCACAACCACCTGTAACTCCATCTCCAAGGGATCTGACTCCCATTGTGACCTTCACTGACACTGTGGTCAAATGCACAGACACACACATATATACAAAATCAAGACTGAAAATAAGGGGGCAGGAGAGATATCTCAGTGGTTAAGAACACTGACTGCTCTTCCAAAGGACCCAGGTTCAATTCCCAGCACCCACATGGCGGCTCACAACTCTCTATAACTCCAGTTCCAGGGGATCCAGCACCCTCACAACAGACATCCATGCAGGCAAAACACCAATGCAAATGAAATAAAAATAAATAAATCTTTAAAAAAAAGAATAAAAATAAAAATCTTAAAAGAATAACCTCCTACTCGTACTCATGCAAGCGACTCAGTGAATCAAATATAGGACATCAAGAAGGAGGGAACTTGTTGGGAAGAAAAGGGGTTCCAGGGTGGGGGATGATGAGAGAGGGTAATGGGAAGTGAAAATGCTCCCCAAAGTCAGTATATACACATAAGAAATTGCCAAAGGATAAAAACCTGCAAGGCAGTCAAAATCTTCCTAATTTAGAACCTAGATGATCCTTGCCGTTTAGTTAGTTCCATTATCCCAGGTACTGGCAGGACATCTGGAGCCAGGAGGGGTCAGCTGACTGGCTGTGAACCTACTTAAACCAAAAGGCGTTCTCTAAGAGTGCGCCATAGTGGAGGGGAAGAGCCGTGTATCCATAGGCCAATTGCTGTTGAGATGGCAGGGTGATAGAAGGGGGAGAAGGGAGACAGAGAAATGGGGGCTTGAAAGGAAGGAAGGAGTAAAAACCATTGCTTATGGTGCCCGGCAAAGCAATCGGGCAGCCAATCATGTTCTGCCTCCTCTATGTTGCTATGACAGTTTTGACTGTCGCTCAAGTGTGCTGTTTAATCTTTGGTTGTTGGTTGGCTTATTGCTCTGAAATTGTATGGGCTATTTATCTAGGTCCCACCCTCCACTACAACCAGTACAGGCGTCTTCTAAAAGCTGGTGGTGTTCAATAAACATTTATTTGACTCGTGGTCCTCTAAGTCCTACAGGCTACTTTGTAGACACCAACGCAATGCTGTTTCCTTACAGGTGAGCCCACGAAAGCCTATGAGAAGCCATCTATTACAGGGACCACCACACAGCCTGTCACCCTGACACAGGCGTTAGCTATCCCAGTAGCTGAGGCTACCCACAGAGCCACATCGAAGCCATTCACAGCATCTGTAACCAGTGACCCCAGACCCCAACCCGTGGGCCACAGGAGCCAGGATACGGGTGAGTAGGTGGGCCATGTATGTCGTGGACTACAAGAGCAGGTGGTGTATCTTTAGAGGAACAGCTTTGTTGGAATCCGGTATGCAGTGCCCAGCCCTTGCCTTGGGGTGGGAAGCCAGGTTGTGTCTTCCAGGCTCAAAACACAACTACTTTGCCATACCCACAAAGATAGGCGAGTATGTGAAGCATTATCTTGACAAGATCGCCCTTCCTCCAAAAGCTTGGTTGAGGAAGACGGCCGACTCAGCTCTCCCCATTGCTGTGTTACTGGATTTTGTTTCCTTAAGTAATAAACGGCCCACACCCTGACGTCTTTCGATAAAAGAATCCCTTTGGGATGTCAGATAGCCGATAAGTTTGCTTGTCACACAGTACAATCTCCAGGCTCTACACAGGCATCTATCTCCACCATCCTGAGATAAAGCGCACCTGAAGAGGGGAGGGGGATGGGAAGTTGTGCAATGGGATCGCTGTTACCTCGGAAGGTTTCTCCGAATATTTCCTGTCCGGCGACACATTTCCCTCCTTGGAGGAAGTTCCGTGGGGGCCTTGTTTTCAGCCTCACCCCTAGTTTTCAATCATGATCGCCATGCAGCATGCTCCTACCCTACCCTAGCAGATTCTAGCCCACCTGTTTACCCATCCTTTTATTTTCTACGGGAGAATTCGCACTTTCAAGGCCCTGGGCAGTTTTCTGAGCAACTTACACATAGATCATAGAACTTGCTAGATCATGACCACCCTGTGGGGCGGATCCAAAGGATGTCTAACTTGAGCGAATCCCTTGTTACAGTGGATAGACTAAGAAATAAGGGGTCCAAACTCCAGGTCACACGGGTAAGCAAGCAGAGCAGGAATCCACATGCCAAACCCTGGAATCCTTGCCGTCAGCAAACGTATCCGCAAAAATCTGAGCCACAGAGGGCCATACTTCGGGAAGAACAAAGTGGCAAGATTGGAGGCTGCCGGGCTCCCCTAATGTCGTCAGTAATTAATAATAACTGTCAGGATACGCAACACGCATGCATTCATGGGCCAAGTATATCGCATGCCTTATTATAGTCTTGTCACTGATTCCACTATAAACTTTCTACTTTATCACTGCCTCATGGGAGAAGTTGTGACCTAAAAGTCCCATATCAGAGAACCATAAAAATAATTTTGTGAAGTTTTGAAATACATCGGACATGCTCCCCACCCCATCCTATTCATGTTCAGCTGGACTAATATTAACCCAAGTTAATGATACCTGGCAACGAGAGAGAAACAGTCTCTGGTGCTGGATGACCAGGGCTCACAGGAGTCCCCAGAACCAGAGCTTTTTTCTTCATCACATCCCAAGCTCTTGGCTCTAGGTTCCTCCATTCTCTCTAACACATTCGAGTACCTGAATCGGCTCTTGTCTTGCCCAGGGGGCACCGGTTCCTTATGTAACAGAGAACAGTGACTGGTGGCTTCTTGACTTGGCTTCTCCTGGCAGCTTGGGAATCTTGATGCCAATTTGGCTGCAAACTCTTCAGAAAAACCTGAAGTAGTGACTCCCAACCTGGCAAAGCTTTGCTATTCCTGGCTTCGGGACAGGGGCTTTGGAGAGCAGCCTCCCAGCCCATCAGTGTTCCTTTTTCTTACTTGCACAGCATGGGCATCCATGCAACCCACACACTGCCGGGCCCATCCTCGGGGAAAGAGAGGCCTCTGTGTAGCGGGCACCATAGTTGTTAAGACAGGAGCCCGGGTAAGCGGGGGAGAAGGACTTCTTAGCCATTGCATTACCCACTCAAAGGCATTCTGCATGCATGAAAAGAAGCAGATTTGGATGTCCAAGTGCATTTGTCCATTTACAATAACAGTTGTATCGAGACACTCCTCTCGTCCCATACAATTCACCCATGTAAAGCTCTTATTCAGGGGGTTTTAGTATATCCATAGTTACATGGCCATCGCCACAATCAAATTCTAGAACATTTTCATCACTCCCAAAGAAACCCCATTCCTATGAACCTGAACCTGAGTCACCACCCTCTTTGGGGTTGTGACCCCTTTGGGGGCGGAATGACCCTTTCACAGGGGTCACCTAAGACCATTGGAAAACACAGATATTTACATTACAATTCATAACAGAAGCAAGATTACAGTTGTGAAGTAGCAATGAAAATAATTTTATGGTTTGGGGATCACCACAGTATGAAGAACTGTATTCAAGGGTTGCAGCACTTCTTACAGTGTTGATAGACAAGTTAGTTATTACTGTATTTCCCTCCTTTTATATGTATGACTTAAACAGAGAGATGCTAGAAGTGGGTGTGACTGGGATGTTCAAGCAAAGCCTAGTTCGTTTAAGAGATATTTTTTTTTTCCTTTTATTTCCGAGACAGGGTTTCTCTGTGTAGCTTTGCGCCTTTCCTGGATCTCGCTCTGTAGACCAGGCTGGCCTCGAACTCACAAAGATCTGCCTGCCTCTGCCTCCTGAGTGCTGGGATTAAAGGCGTGAGCCACCACCGCCCGGCTCGTTTAAGAGATATTTATTGAATGCCTACTACGTGTCATCAGACAGCATTCTAGGATATATCAGTGACTGTCCCACCTCAACGCACTAAGATCCATCGATGATCCCTTCAGCTTAGGACACCTCACGCCTGTGGAGCTGGAACAGGGCCCGCCCACCTGTGTTTCAGGCCTGAAACTCCTCCTACACTGAGGTTTACAAAAGCATCCTCTCAGGCAGAACACAACACCTTAGACTCTGAGTGGTTCTCAACCTTCCTAATGCTGCGGCCCTTAAACAGAGATTCTCATGTTGGGGTGACCCCCAACCAGAAAGTTATTTCATTGCTACTTCATAACTGTGATTTTGCTACTGTCAGGAATTATAATTTAATATCTGCTAGGCGACCCCATGGGGGGTCACGACCCACAGGTTGAGGACCATTGCCTTAAAGGGAGGTTGACAACAAAATATGTAAATATTTAGATGCAGAAGAGACAGGAGCGCTCTCAGCTCACAAAAGCATGCTGAGGCGTGAGAGGACTCCCAGGAAATGGGTGCTGGACACACTGCGGCCCATTCACGGACCCGTGAATATACACGCCAAGACGTCAGAAAAAAACCAAGCGAAGGCTAGGAATAATAAGCCAAGAGCCAGGGACACAGAGACTTCTCACAGGACAGGAATAAGGCTGTCTTCATAGAGAGGCCAAAGATGGCACCGGCACACCCCCCGCCCAGGAGCACCCAGCGCCAGAGAGAGCCACCGGGAGAGCCAGATCCAAAGCTATTGTTAGAAAAGAATTCTGCAAAGACTGACAAGCTGCAGGTCCCGCTGGGTCAGCTGGGATCTCTCAGATGTAGAAGGCTGCATGGCAGCATCGTTTGCCCAGTCAGGTTCACTTTAAGAAGCGTTTTGGTGGCCACTGCCAGCATAGCATTAAATGTATGCACAGTACAGAGACCAGAGGGGTAGAGGAGCGCCGCCTAGTGACAAGGTCCAGAAACGGCCAGGGTCATTCATTTCCCTTCCAGCCTTGGGCAAGGACTAGGAGGAGATGGAGGAATCCGGCAGGAGAAGACCAGCGTCTGCCAGTGTGCGCCTTTCCCTCCTCAGCAGGATTTCTGTCACCTGTGGAAGTCTTTCTTCCTTAAGGTATCTGGAGAAGGTTTTTCTTGAAATTCAATCTTTCAAAAGACAAGCATTCCAAAAGAAAACTGGAGAAAGACCATGACCAGGCAAACTACAGCAGAGCTACAAATGGCCAATAAATGTATTTTTTTAAAGATATTCAAGCTGGGCAGTGGTGGCACATGCCTTTAATCCCAGCACACAGGAGGCAGAGGTAGGTGGATCTCTGTGAGTTCAGGACCAGCCTAGGCTACAGATTGAGTTCCAGGACAACCAAGGACTGCACAGAGAAACCCTGTCTCCAAACACCAAAACAAAACAAAACAACAAAAGATATTCAGCTTCATCAGGAATGAAATAAGTGCCAAATAAACAGCAAAATCTTTCTCTTTCTCTATACACACACACACACAAACACACACACACACAAATTCATACTGCAAACTGAAATACACAGTTTGGGCAAGAGTGTGGAGAAATGATAGAATTTACCAAGAATGAATTGTAAGGTAAGTATGATCCACGGGTGGGAAGAACAGCCATGGGACACGGTCACGTGAAGAGAAACAAAGGTTTACTCACCCACCATTAGAAGTACGGGTCAAGTTACCGTACAACCTGCTCAAATGCACTGCATGTGCACACAGAAATGCTATTCAGCCATGAAGAAAAAATGCAACTATGGCATTTTCCAGAAGAATGAAGGGAAGTAGAGATCATTACTTGAAGCAAAATGAGGCGCAGTCCAAAAGATAAATATCCCATGTTTTCTCTCATCTAGATGTGTGTGTGTGTGTGTGTGTGTGTGTGTGTGTGTGTGTGTGTGTGTGAAAGAGACAGATACGGGACTGGGGGGGAGGGGTCTAAAAGAAAAAAGTGGAGAACAGAGGATAAGAAGGTGGTGGAATATATGGGACGTGAAAATGGGGAGGGATATTTGGGGGTGCAATTAAGGAAGGGACCCCCAAGGGAGGAGGGGATGTGGGGGAAAGCAATGGAGGGAGGGACATGAATAGGAGCGTACCATAATGCTATGTATGTAGACAATGTCATAATGAAACCTGTGACTTCACATGCTAACCTTAAAAATTTTAAAATAAATAACCGAAAAGCTGATAGGCTTGGGCACTGGCTGGTGTGAGAAGACTGGCCTGTGGTAGATTGCTCAGTCAAAGAAGTGAGGTGCAACATGGACCCCCCCCAACACACACACACACACACACACACAGAGTCCTGCGCTTGTGTGTTGTGTGTAAGAATGTAGTCTCAGAACAAGGGATGTAGTTCTGCATACCAAAACCAGAGGCCAGCCAGCGCTGGAAAGACAACCAACGATGGTCCCTTGCCATGCATCGTATTTAGAGAAAAAGTCTATATGGTGAG